GGATTTACCGAAGTAGAGGTAATCAAGGATCTCGTTGGAAAAAGGCTAAATCCCAAGGTCAATATTCGTTCCGCTCTTCCCCGAGTATTGGCTCGACACCCCCCTTGCACTTCGATTGCAAAGCCATATTCTGTATAATAAATATTAAGAAAATTAGGTTGACGTATATTGGATGGGGGACCAAGATATTAGAAATGATTTCACGACATAATTTTTCACACTTAAAATATTGACAGTATGGACACCATGTATTATGATTTTTTATACTATTAAGGAATGCATACCATATATGTGAGTTATTACATTGCCATAATAATGGAGTTACATTGTTAGTGTATTGGTTAGAGAGACATTTTCCTTCTTTATTATATGCAATTTGTTTAGCATAATGGTAAGATGATTATCAGCACAACATGGACACCATTTATTATAATTTTTTATATTGCTAAGAGATGCATACCAGGTATGAAATTTATTACATTGCCATAATAATAGTGATTTATTATTAATATATTTTTCTGAAAGACATTGCCCACCACGGGATTCAGCAATAGCACAAGCATTATTTAAAGATAATTTTTTCATTATGATAAATTCATTTTAATAAAGATTATTTTTCCAATATGAAATCATAACTAATAAAAACCAATTCTATATTCAGTATAAATAGAATATAAAGTATCTACTGGATACGGACAGCTTCTTAATAGAAGTGGAGAGTAGGATGTACTTATATTGTTGTATTAATAAATAACCGAAAAAATAATTATTCGATTGTTATGCCTTACTTTATCTGATTTCAAAGTATTATATCTAGTTTCGGTTTTTTGCCTAATAGATTTTTAGAGATACGCCAGCAGCCATTCACGTTGATAACTAGCAAATTAGAACATAATGTGCAATATCGTATATTGTTTTATCGGTAATATAAGTACGTTGAAAAATAAGATATCGAATATCTGGACATGAATGGACTATATCGCACACAGCATCATCTGTAATTCTGTAATCAAAAGACAAGTTAGGTATCGAAGTTTTATACATGAACGCGCGATTGCATAAATTGATATATCTTTGATAGAAGGTTGGGAAGAGAGATTTAAATAAACTAGATTGGGACAAGATCGTGCTATTTCAATTACAGACGCGTCAGTAAAATATATATTATACAAAGAAGCGAGACTTATGTATTTTAAATTTGGGCAAGATTGTGCTACTTTACTAATGCATCTATTAGTAATAGCTGTACACGCATCAAGACTCAGATGTAGTAGCTTCGGACAATATTTTGCAATTTCTATAATTGGTATATTACTGAAACCATGACTTCGATCAAGAATGAGAAAGCATATTAATATAGTAATATAACCTTCGGTTAACACAGGTGCCCCGTTATTCCGAAGACCCCGTTATACCGAAGGAAAATGCCGGACCGGACGCCTTCGTTATAACGGGGTTGCCTTTGTATATATATTGTTTTCTACTACTGATGGTACCAGCTTCTCTAATGTCACAAGGAGACAAAACATATTAAAAGCTGAGATAAGAACCTGTCATTATTATAGTTAATGCATTAGTAAATTTAAGTTCATTATTAAAAAATATGTAATTTATGTAGCTTACCAAAACTCGATGAAGTAGAAGAGAAAGATTATATCGAGGAGATATACAATATGCTGTTAGATCCCTTCTAATAATAAACCATTGAAATTGTTCCTTTGCAGCAGCATAACAGGGCAAGTGAGGTAATTCACCAAAAAGGGATTGGTCCCATTTTTCCATCTTTGATTCTAGTTCTTTTACAGCATTATCAAACTCATCAGAATCCTTCTTTTCTTCTGCTTTGAATACCAATACATCATGCAGTAAGGCAATCAGATCTGGACAAAGCATTTTTTGTGTTGCACCAGATGTATCCACAACATTATGATAACTTGTAACCCAAACTGAAGACTTCGGCCAAGGCTTTGCCATATTTGTTTAATTAAGCATCATACTCACTAATCAAGTTATTCTCACTACCTGTTATTGTAAGCATTAGTGCAGCTTCACATAGAGAGGAAACAGTATCTCCAGTTTGACCAACATCCTCATCAATAAAGTAGTTTCCAAGATTTAATAATGTTAATTCTGGTGATGCAGCCATGTCATGATACAGTTTGTGCCATATAGGAATCTTTTGAAGAAATGAACACTTAAGATACACTTCAAGCTCATTCTCACTTGGTGAGTTAGTAAGTGGTTGAGAAAACTGAGTGATAAGTGACTATTCAACTGACGTTTTCCTCACTATAGTAAAAGATGAGTATCTGGAGCAAGCAAACCAAATTAAAGTCTTTGAACACCAATAAGTATGTATGTCAACTATAGTTGTAGTAATATCCCAGTAAATTTATATGAAGAAAAACCTATTACTAGGTCCACTTTACTTTATGTACACACTACTCTATGTCCCCAACGCGAAGTCATTACCTCCTCCGCTTTTTTCTGCTGCGCCTTTGCGTTATTAAGCTCTTCTGTCATTGTTCGAAAAAAACCCCCAGTTCAAGATGCACTGCGGGCTGCGGTGTGATCCAACATACTAACACTGATCAGTGGCTTAATAACACAGTAAATCACTCATGTGTGCCAATAAAGACCCCGGCGCAATTTTTTCTCCTTGAGCTTTCTTCAAAATACTTCTAATAGTGCTGTAATTCTTTGGTTCCATGGTGGACTTGATGTAAATCAGTTTCATATTGATATTTTTATAGATGGAGGTAATCCTATATTAAAATTATTATAATTCAAGTAAATCATAAATGTCATTTTGGCATATAACTTAAAACTGTAATTTACATAAATTTGTATATGAGTTACAACTGTAATAATAATATTATGAGTCAAATTAGTTAATTTTTAGCCACATCAGCCTCTCACTTATGTCACATAAGACTGCAGTCTGCCCCATATATTAATATCAGTCATGTGCCTGTTATTTCATACCTGTGCGCATTTCCGTCTTATCCTTTGGCTGTTTAATAATATCTTTCATGCTGCTGACAAATTGTGTTTAGGCGAGTGTGTAAACATTACGTATTGACCATCTTTTGTGTCTTGGGATTGGTTGTAATGGCATGTGCTCCGAAATTTAACAAAGAGTTGACGTTTCTATTTGACCTGGAGATATTCTAAGACCCCAAAAGTTGATGGCTTGTATTTCTCCCATACAATGCAAGCTCGCAGTTATTAACAAAAACATGTGATTTCTTCTGAATTCTCTACCATATAACATGCGGGCACGCGCATACAAAGTAAGCACGATTATTTAAAAATAAAAAGATAAAAGTACTCAGGTCGGAAAATATTGTAGAATTTTTCTTCGTTTTGTGATTTAACTACGTTCGGTAGAAAAAAAGTCACCGAACACTTTATTTATTTAATATTAAGCATTACTGTAAAACGAGAGTATTTTTAATAGCTTGTTGATCCTATACGATACATTCTTGAACACGTCTATACATACTTTCGATAATCTCCTATAGGTCTCTGGGAATGTTTCCCACTTATGTAATTTGTGCTTATTTGCGAGTCGTACCACTCGCCATTATAGTTTATTCTATATATTAAAGAGATTCATACTCTAACAATTTTGTTTGATAAATTGCGCCTTTCAGTACACCAATTGAACCAATTATGCGTTTGACTATCAGTTGAAAGGAGGTTTCTGCAGCGACACGGAAATAAAGACCAACAAAGTTCTAATGACTTTTAAGATCCGATTGGCTGAAGTTTGAATTTAATTATATTCGTGGGTTGTTTTCTATCATTCCCTTCAATGGTTTTGTACATTTTTATCAAACAAGGGAGGACGGGTGCACTCCTCCTCCGTTAGTCTTGTAACGGAAAATCGTGTCTTTGAACCAGTGAACTAAGGTTTTTAATTGCGCAATTTGTTTACGACTTTTATTGCAAGCTGCGGTAACCGGAAATGACTTTGTTTACATTAACATTCGTAACTGTTTGTTATTCATGGATACCCAAACTATTTATGGCAGCATTTTATCAAGCAATATGCTAACATATAAAGCGTTCTTCCCACCGAGTGTATTAGTAAATAAATTTTGACACGTAGTATTTCGTATAGTAACAAGTCTCTACAAACTGCAACACGTGAACGTGCCTCTTAAACATATTGGACATTCACTGGACATTTCCTGGCCATTATTATGGACATTGGACACGTTGAATTTCCAGAATTCAACTGATTGTTATAATCTTTAGTGCTGAATTCCGTCTAAAAAAGTAAAAAAGAACACGACTCAGCGTGACCCAACTTAAGAGCAAGGAGGGTGGTAACAAGGAAAGTAAAGGGAATAACCAGTGAAAGAAGAAACCGCAGATGTATTAAATAATATGTTATGCTTTTACCGTTATTAAATAATGAGCGAGTAACGCGTTTTTAAGAGTTACCTAAATTAATTAAGAATTTCCTCTCAATGATTGGATATTCTGTCTTAAATAATGTTCCCAAAAAATTTTAAATCCAGGTTGTTAGATGGCCATTATTGAGAAACTATTTGACAATTTTGCTAGTATGTTTAGGATTGTTCTCTTATTGGAATTGCCAATCATCGCCCAAGATTTGACTAGTCTCTGGAGTATAAGTTTGCATCCATTACAGAAGAGCCTTTTGTCTTTTATGCAAGTCCACAGTTTTAGTTTATCTTTTGGGATACTTTACCCAATACAGTTAATGTATATATATTATGTCTAGTAATCATAATCCTGCAGAAATATTGACAACGTGCACCGGGCATTTAACTGATATCTTTATGTATAGACAAATCATTTATATTTCTTCATCTTTTGTTTAACTGACTATGTATAGGTAAAGGCAGAATTTAATAACAGTAAGTTATATTCACATACTGTTATTAAATTGAAACGTGACCTGCAATTGAAAACTGCAATGATACCATTTCCTACATATACGTAATCTCTTTCATCGTAGACGTAAGGAATTTATTTCTTTTTAATGCGTGGGGTACATTATCGTTATACCGCATAATTTAGAATTGCCAATAAGAGTTTCTAAAGCTTTGATTTCCTTTTACGAGTGGCTGATATAATAATAATTGATTAATTAATAAACTGTGTTACACACTGGCTGGTTTAATGAATTTTACACTTACTATTCATGAAATCAGAAACTGCTCTTCTTGATTCGGAGGACAACATTCTGCAAAACATGCATGTAATGAAACAAGTCACTTAACGGAATGCCCGTAACACGAGGATGCTCATAGTGACTGATTGGTCTGTTTTCATATAGCGACTGATGATAATTACCTTTCCTGCAACAACTCACACTCGCTTCTACTAACAGCCATCAGAGTCTCTCGTTCGCGGGCGCGAATTAAATCCTTTGTTTGGAAGATTGCGGTAGGCGGGAAATTCGTTGTTTTAGTTGCAATAGCAACTACGTCATCGATAAAATTATCTGGTTGAATAATACGACTGATCGATGTATAGATTCGTTAGATATGGAAAAATGCGCTTAACGGATAGAACGTATGATTAATAATCTTGCCTTATGAATCCCATCTTCTCTAACTCTTGAGCCGTAAACTGCCGACCCATTAGCTTGAGATAAGATAATCGTTGATCAGCCATTCGTTATTATCACGTCACGAATAACAACATGTATCTTACTATAAGCTCGTTTGCAATCGAATATCCAAATATTCTTTTGTTGATTCATTAGGATGATTATGAGTTTAATTATATTTGTACGTCACGACGCAGCGAGGGTGACTTACTTTGGAAATAGGTATGATGAACATCCTTCCGCGCAAAAACCTATAATAGTCACATCTCGTTAATTTGTATATATACACGGTAAGCCTGATAAGAAGGGAATATACATACCAAATTGCATGAATGGAGTAAAAAATATAGCATCAGGAACAGCATATACTACGTCACATAAAGCTAATGTTGTCATCCCAAATCCTATTGCTGGGCCTGAACAAGTCAATGAAAACAAACACATTAACATTCCAATAGTTTCAAAATACTGGAAAGTCTCAATAGGCATACCAACCATTAACAGCAGCAATAAGCAGTTTGGGAAAGTTGATTAAAGTGTTCAATAATGATCTGTAGTTTAATCAAGAGTGTAGGCGCCATATATGCTGACAGTCCGCTAAAATATACATATTTAGATCTTCCATCGACTCTATAATAATAAACTTACTGAACACAAACAATCGACTCTTTCACTGTCTTTTCCAACTTTGATTCGTCTGCATCGGGTGTTGGCGCCAATTCGTGTCCACTCGTATAGAATTTGCCTTTGCCTGTCATGATGGCAACTTTGACTTCAGATGACTGAGCTGCCCATATGAGAGATCGATCCCATTCCTAGCACATATAGTAACAGTTATTTGAATCGCTATTTAATGTATCATACGAAAAATTAGATTCTATATACCTTGTAAACTTCTCCATTAAGTGCATTTTTACGAGCAGGCCGATTAAACGCAATAATCGCCACACCTTTGTCTGTCAGTGTAATTTCAAAGTGTTTGACCTTTGGTATAGCCATAAATTTTAAATGATGGGATTTTCTTGTTTCTTAGATGATTGTCAAACATACTCACTATTTCGACCAATCGGTGTTGCCGGCACTCGTTAACTATTTTGCTAGAAATAAAGACAATGATATCCCCAGCATAAATATGCAACGCCTTCACAAATGACGGCACGAAATATGTCTTGACAAGTAGTAGCAGCACAGTAACAGAGACTATTTTTTTAGATGAGATTAATCTTTTATTTAAAGGAAATATTGTTCAAGATGTAAGAGAAAGGCAGAGGTTCTATTCTTACACGGCAAATTTCATATAAAATTTGAATGCGTTAAGAACATCTTGTTCAAGTTTATACTGTTCCGCCTGAAGGACCAGGGGTCACCTAAATAAAGACCTCGAAACCTCTTCACAAATGACGAAGACAATTCCGGTCAGAATAGTGTTGCTTACGAACAGATGTCTATGTAAAGATTGAATGAGATGCGCGAGCGGTAAGTTCTGGTTTTGTTATATGTAGCGAAGATAATCGTGAAACATGTCAGTGAGTAGCCAACGAACTGTTTTTGTTGGCTGACATTGAGCGTATCGATGAAGTACACTGGAAAAAAGATATCATTCAATCGGCAATTATATACTGTAAACCAATACACAAGTCTTTTCTTGATTGATCTTATGTCGTTTATGTATAGAAAGATTGTATAAATAAAATATGTATAAAAAAGAGAAAAAAACACACCAACATATGTATAGAATGTGATGGACAAATACAAAGAAAAAGAGAAAGAAAAAGGGAAGAAAAAAAACATAAAAAAAAAATAAAGCAGTTAACCGTATCAAAAGTCTATACATAATTACAGATAATAGGCGGAGGGAGTTTAGACCATCAAGAAGAAAAGTTTTTACAAAAGAGAGGCGATTTTTTGTTCTAACCTGCTTTGTTCAGAGGACTACAAAGTACGAGATAAAAAAGGATAAAATATTAAACACTATCGCATCGATATGATTTTGAACAAGATTAACTACAACAGCGATAGTAAATAAGACTATGTTACCAATTCAAATCCTTTTTTGATATCTCTGAAAGTAGGTAAAAATGATAACGAAAATCGAGAAGATCTCTACAAGCAAAACAAATAAATTTCTCTCAAAATAGACATAATAAAACACAAAATCAATGATTAACGGGAACATGTATATATGTGATGATAAAAGAAAAAGCTATTCTTAAAAGTGGAAAAGTAATCTGAATAAAGAAGTAATAGAATGGTAAAACAAAAGATTGGAAAAAGACGAAAAAAAATATGTGAATATGACCTAGAGATAAAAATATTTCTCATAATACAATTAAAAGCCACGTACAAAATCTAGTTCAACTACAAGCCATTGAGAAGGACAGCATTCATTGATATCCGTATGTTGAAGAATATAAAATCCATTCTTACTCAAACGTTCGGGTTCACGTCCCTCACAAATCATAGGGAAGCGGTAATAAGAAGAGTAAATGAAATGAAATAACGAAACTGACCCAATCTCAAGGGAGACTACTACCTCCATCACTTAGATCAAAGCCAATATTACCGCTATTACCATTTCGATCTCCACTAGCTTTTATCTGAAGACGTTTCACCAGCTCCTCAAGCTTCTGATTGCGGCTACTTTGATCGCGCAAACTTTGTTTGAGGTCGCGAATATAGTCGACTGATTTGCGGAGGATTACGCCTTTATTGGGTTTGTTTGAATTGTCGGCGTAGGTTTCAGGAAGGAGAGTGGATAGCTCATGAATTCTCTCGTTGATATGGTCCCGACGACGACGTTCAACTGTGTATATGACAAAGGGTAAAGAAACAGTTAGGGATATGTAGTTTTATAGTACGATTAGCTCATAGCGATCTTAGAAATACTCACCAGCATTATGGGACTCACGACGGCGGCGCTTTTTCTCAGTCTGCAGGGCCCTAATAGTTGTATAAAGAAATTTCTTAGTATGATGTGATTGAATTTTTGTGATGAAGCTTGTAATCCGTTGTCTTTTGCCTTTATCTCTCGTTTGATACAACACCAAGCTCTCTCTTGATGCATCGATTGTCTAGGTTTAATCTCACTTAAGAATATTCACTCTTTCAGATTCTAAACCCATATTTATTCCGCTCATTCCATATACAATACTTACTGTTGCCTAGATACGTTGTCTTCAGCTTCGACTTGGATCATTTCAGTTACTAACGACATATCACCCCCAGGAGTGAATTGTAACGAGCCAGAATACGCACTATGATCTCCCCAGTCGGCTTGAACTCTGTATGCCGGCACCGACGCACTGTATGCTGGCAAACTAAACGGTATGGCATTATTAGCTCCAGGGAAACTGTTATCGGGAGTACAGAATCCGAACTGATTCTTCTTAACGACACCCATCGGAAGAGCTGCAGTTGTAGTAGGTGGAGCACTAGAGGAGAGATCGAACCCAAACTCTGCGGTATCCGGTCCAGGAGAATAGACGGATGCTTGGGTTCCGGGCGATTCACCAAATTGGGAGTCAACTTCAACGTTGCTGGTTGGAATAGGCACGCTAGCAGTGCCAAACTCATCTATGTCATCTAATGGCGAATTGGATGAAGGAGATATGATATTATTGTGATCGGTATAATCCAATTCAGTTGCCATGTTGTCGAGTGCCTCCTGTTTAATAATTCGAGAATGATAAGCGGAGTTCGCTAATAGACCGGGATCTATAGTACCCGAGTACGAGTTGTTTGGGGTTGGAGGTGCGCCATTAGTGCTTGTACGGCTGCGTCTTTGAGTCTGCTCAATATGGTATGGAGTTGGGTTTACTAGACGCGATTGTGTTTGCTGATGCTGTACGTAACTTGTGCCAAACAGAGCCTGCTGTTCATATCCCTGTTGTCCTTGCATGGCTTGTGGGCTGGAGTGGGGCTCTATTAATTACAGCTACACTTTCGTTATAGGTGAAGGTTAGGAAGCAGGGCGAGGGGAGCGTATTATTACGATTATTATTATGTATTATTATATTCTTGTAGTTGTATATGGTAGAATCTAGTGTTATTAGCAGAGAGAGATCTTTATTGCGTTCTAAGGACGGACGTTATGGAGTGTTGTATTATGCAGAAATATATTTGCAAATAGTATGTCGTCGCGCGACGGGTTTAATGTGATTACTTGTGGTAAGAGTTGAGTATTCTTTATATAACAGAGAGTTTGGGATAAGTGTGTTAAAAATATTCTCTACAAAAAAATTTTTTCCCACTTCTCTGGAGTGTATATATGAAATAGATATGTATATATATTATCAATATAGTATTTGTCAGTATATATGTATGAAGCTAACGAAGCGAGTTCCTTTTCGTTTATGCGGTAAGAGCGAAGTACAAAACTAATCGAAGTTGTGTGGAAAATGCGCACCATAAAAAGGTGAGTAGCAATAAATAAAATCCGGGGGGGGGGGTGTATAAACACAAAGGATACATATACATATACTAATAATACATCAAATCTGCAGAGTATAAATAATATAAATATGATAAATAATGCAAGTCGAATTATTCGAATATGTGACCAGAACTAAGACATGTATTATTATAATAAGACGCACATACAAATAATTAATAATCTCTCGACAATTACCATTGTTTTTTGTTTACTATGACCATATGGCTCTGGTTTCTACTAATATACCACTTACTGTTTCCAGCGAAAAAAATACAATACTGCGGAGATAATATTCAAGTCGATCTGAGTGATGGCTTTACAATAGAGTATGTGGAAACAACAGCCAGGCAATAATATTAATACACGTATACTACAATTATGAATCCGTGACGTAGCATGTTCTTGACACCATTTTATAAACCTCTTTTTCTTCAATCGATGACGCGGAAACCGTTTGGTGAAATAATCTTGGTCTTGCGTTGAAACATTGAAACATGTAAACAGGAATAAGACCGAATGTCTAATTACTGTACCAATTGCGATAGTAAAGAGTTGATGTGGCTATGGTTGTGATCGTTTTAATGTTACCAGTGTTACGGGTGCATATATTCTTTATCTATTATACCCAAGCCACTTGAACTCGTCTCTGGTTGGTTAATCTCTGATATCAAGCTGCATCCACATCGAGTCTGAGGAAAATAGGAGATTTATGCACTCTTTCATACAAAGACATTTTTTTTTAAACGTCAGATATCTTGGCAGTAATTCATAGATGGGAGGGAACAGTAAAAGCTGCACAAACCGTTCGTACATAGATTTTGTCACTTGTCAATAGAGAACTGCTGTCTGCATGGTAGAGTGACAATAGAGGATAATTGTAACTATAGTGTCACTAAGCGAGCGTTTGGTGTAATTGTGATTATTAAACGATGGATATATATATGCGACTATTACAAACAAAACAGATAAGATTGTCTCTGATTATCAACAATTGCCACAATAACAACACATAATTATCATTGTGACTAAAAAACGAGCGTCAGTCTTATTGAGGTTAGTCGTTCGTTGATAATTAACACAATAATATTATTCTGTCTATTAAACTTGCATGCAAATCGAACGGGAGAATTAAACGCAATAGCGGGGGGTGCGCATGCAAGTCAGTTTGTATCGAGTAATGATATTGCCAACCAAGACTTTGGCCAACGTAGCTTTGCAGTTAAGAGAGCACATTGACTTTGCATTTTGCAGGGTCTTTTCTAAAATAGACATGAAATAGAGAGAAAGGCTGTCAATAAACAATGTTTTTCATAATATAGGAAATAATGTAAAATAATAGCGACGATAAAGGAAGCTTAAACATCATACTGCGCTTGTTTGCCTTAATAAATAACTGCTTATTCAATCCACTTGTTGCTTTCAGTCATTAAGTGCTTCCCTTATCAGTCAAATGTATATCCAAATGGGACAGTCACAATTATTCCCTTCCCCCTTTTTCTTTCGACCACTAAGAACGAAGTTTTGTTTGCGGCAAAGAATGTATAATAAAGACAGGATTATGATCATTTGACATGTAAGCTGTTTTATCTCTTCATTGTCAAAACACTGATATAGTAAAAACACAAATAGAATAGGAATTGCGATATAAGTCAACAGGTTTATTATTCGAAGCTATTTGGTGTATATTACAAATGCTCACCTTCATCATCCAAATTAAGCCTAGTCAATAACATATACATATTCTCAATGACATCACTAACACCAGTTCAATGTCATACTAAATATGGCACTTATTTTCGTAATGAAACATTGCACTAAATATGTATATCACAAAAAGGAAATAGAGGAAATCTAGGGGTTGAGACTGCAATCCCGACCCCCCGTCTTTTGACAAATTTATTTGCGAGGAGGAAAAGAGAGCGCTTGTCCTTACAGGAATGTCTGGTTCAAGTGGCTATAATACAAGGTCTTTCCTGTACATTTTGTCATAGCCTCCATGTCCCTATTTGTCAATACTTTTACTATGCCTTCGTCCCTTCTCGAGCCTAACACTTGATTTCTCACGTGCGAAATGTCGACGCATACGTAATCTTCAACCATCACTGTTAATTCAATCTTCTTTTCCAACATGGGATATACCCCTAATACCAAATTGCTCCCCACATCATTCCGTTTCTGGCTTGCATCAGCGCCGTAGATGCCTTATTAACCCTAAGCGACTTTCTGATTTTCTTAAAAATAAATATACGAGTGGAAACAATGGAATGACGGAGAAGAGCGAACAACAGAAAGAAAAAAAGGAATCTGAAAGGGGGTACAAAAAGGGACATCGGCGTTACGACATGGAAGATATGGTTAGTGAGTATGTACGATAACGTAATTGTTAATCCAGCGTATACTAAAATTAATATCAATGTCCCTTGTCTATTGTTTCATAATTTCAACCTAATAACCTTGAGCTTTTGTGTCTAGGAAGAAAAGGGAAGGGAAGCCCTATTTTTTTTCCTAACTTTTGCATATTGTACCCAGATTCAGTTGCAAGGAGTTTAATCTCATAGTCGTGTTACATGGATTATATTATTGACATTATAAGCATCAAGCAAACAAGTTCATGCAAACTTGTCAAGACGTAATGTATTGTGATTTGAACTTGTTTAAATTCGAGGTATTTTTAACACCAGAGGCTGATTAGCATTATAGATGAGGTCAGAAAGATGCTTTAGTACTAGTTCATGGATCGAGTGGCGGGAACCTGAACAAATGTCTGGTAATGCGTGTCATACAGTATCCTACAATAAAATTTTAGGTTGCATAGTCCTGCACAAGCGTTGCTGTCAGTTTTAACAAAAACTCGTGATGTTGTATTTTTGATTTGTATGTTCCACTATTCAATTTAATTAGGCATTGAATTGAAGCAAAGACAAATTCCTGCGATTTAACCAAATGTAGTGTGTGCTTATTTGTAACCAGCAATCAAGAAGCTAGCACATTTGCATGTAATATTAGCTACTCGATCTTCAATTCGTGGCCAAAATCAAGTAACAGATATGGTTTCAAACTCAGCTTCATGAGTGATAGTTTACAATTATAGCAAACATGTCAGAAATATATCGCTTTCTGTTACTATTGTGTATAGGCTCGATTTTCCAGAGAGTCAAACACATGTTAATGTCAAAATTATTACCTATATTATGCAAGTAACACGTTCCAACAAAAAGTGAGAATATGGGCACCACACCTCGAACTCTTATGGCTAATAATTCTACATGGCTGATATTCTGTGTTCTTTTTTATCTTCTTGGCACAAGATGGAATGTAAAAGGGGTTAATTATTCTTCGCGAGAATGCAGATCATATCTTAATTAAACATAGCCTCCGTCTGTTAGTGTAACTCCCATTTCGGCTATAATCGGACCGAAACATCTTTATAGAAATCTGCCTAGCTTGTTATACGAAAAAAAGGGGAATGTTAAAAGTGGACATTCAAAATTTTTTTGGCACAATTCACGGCATTTAACGATAACAGCCGGGAAAAGCCATCGGGTTTCGTCGTACAACCTTTAAGTCCAAATATTGACGGCGAATTCTTGTATCAATGGAGATTATTCCGCTATTAATATTTTAATAGCCAATTTTAGCAGGATATTAAAACATCACACATAATTAATATACCTGTCTAAACCGGTACTCAGCCACCCACCTGCTATGTCCATTCCTAAATACGTATCCGTAACTATTCCATCATTTTCGAGGTTATATTATTTGTCATCGATCGTGTGGATTGATGTGCTGGTTGTCGCGAGTGTTGTATTTAGTTCAATGGCAAGTCTTATCTATCAGATTGTCGTCTGTCACATTATCTCGTTCTAAATGCCACAATTTACCAACATTTAATATATGCCTTTTCAGTAACTTACATATGAATATTAAATTATTGATACAAATTTTGTTAAGTTTTTATTTCGGCTATTAGATGGGTTGGTTGCCGGTTTTAAAATTTTTTGCGTCTTGTCTGTTGCTTTTTACGAGCTTTTCCAACTGAAGGCTACTATAGAGATAGTTTGACTAGGCGTCAGCAAGAAATTTTCCAAGAAATAAAAGTCACAGCATAACAATAATTAATTTAATTTACAATGTCTTCTGCTTGCCAAAACCGATAAAAAGCTAAAAACTATTATTAAAAGTTATTTGGAAACTTTAAGTATTGGTTCAAGCAACAACAATAAAGTAGAGAAGAGTAGTATAGAGCAGGGAGCTTATAACAAACAGATTTACGGTTTATAGGAACCAGTAAGGTTTTCTAGTTCAACAGTATTGCACTCGGTAATGTTAATGAACTTGATGGTTAATTGGATATGTGCATATTGACGTGTATATACGGCGTGCCGCATTAAGATTTAACTCTCAGGGAACCGGGTCTATTTATGCCTAATATTACAAAGCGTTTATTCTCGAATGGGTCCTCTATCAGTCTTCTGAGGATGCAGCCTTGGTAAAGCAAAAATAATTTATTCGTAAATAATTATTTGCAACAAATATAATGACATACGCAAATGGTATTGTACTAAATTATTTATCAATTATTTAAATCTGTATTATTTATTATAATCTAATACTTTGCACAAAAGATATTCGAAATGCTCGTTTTACGTTAAGGTTATTATATACAATGTGCGAAATAGTCGTGAGAATGTCGTTTTTATTTAGAATAAATCAAAATAATATACTGCCTATGATATGGTAACCAAGATTACTTAGTAGTTTATCTTATTATCATTTCTTGCAATTATTTCCTCCAACCTTCTTGGCATGCTACGAGCCAAATTAACAAAAGTCTCAGTTTCAACTCTATTCCATTATCTCAAGAAAAGAATCTTTGGCGATTGCTTTTTTCCTTCTAATAATTTGTTGACTGGTTACTCCACAAATGGTTGATATCTGGGCTATTAGACGGCCAATCCATAATTTTGGGCATCATACGAGAAGTTCCATCGTTTCCTTATCTTTATGCTTCAGATTATTATCTTGTTGGGACATCCAACTAAGGGCGTTTGCGTTAGCAAAAAAAAAAAATTCTTTTACGATAAAGCACACCGTTCATGATATCTGTAATTATAGTTTATGAGAGATACACTCACCGGACAAAAGTTTGTACTCAAAACTATTAAATAAACTATTACCAATTTTATATCTTTTGTTCTTAAAAAAAAGTTAACGTCAAACTTGTATCTGATGAGCTTTTGTTAAGACAAAAAATTGAAGACATTCAATTTCTTATATCCAACCATTAAAAAATTTATATTGCTTCCTAATTTTAATACCCCTCAATCCTTCTGGATATACAATCAATAAACTTCAGATCTTCCACGAGGAATTTGCACTCACTCTTGTTTTAAAAAATTTTCTAGTTTTCCTGAATTTCATGAACGTTTGGGACGACTTTTTTAACCTTTGACCAAGTTTATTCCACAAATGCTTAATTGGATTAAAGTCTGGTGACTGATAAGGCCAACCTTCAACATCTTGAGAACAAGACCTTTCAAATAATATAAAATTGCAATTGTTTATTTGGTGATATTTAAGAGAAAAATGCAAAAATAAGAACAAGACGGATGCCAATTTTTGTTTCAATAATAGAAACTCGTCAGATACACGTTTAGTAATTGTCCTGTGTATACCAATATAAAACTTTTTGCAACACATAATAGGTGAGAAAAATAATATGTAAACGCGTAAACAATGCTTATATCTTCGATAACAAATTATTTCTCTAATTTTATACATATTGTAGACATATGAATTTTCGACTCTGTATTTGCGTCACATCCTCACTCCGAGATCATAACTTCGCGTGTAAAATAGGGTTAAAATCGTTCCAAAAATAAAATAACTGTGTCTGTATACCGAGCATGTCATATAAACTCGATTACCTCAGACAGGCAATGCTTTGCTTGTAATGAGAATACATTGTTTAGGATAACTAGAATAGTCTGTGAGAGCAAACGCTCAGAACACCAATATTTATCCTTAGTTAACGTAAAAACTGTGTCCCAAAGGTGAGTACATACAGCAGCTTTTTGAACGTGTGAAATAAGAATAAATACTAATACTATAATGTCACGTTTAACTGCCACATTCAACCCAGATTCCAAGTGCAAGGTGAATTTAATTATGGTGCCGAAGTCATAACTCGACAATAACGTGAAATTGTTTCAATTTTCTAGTGACGATTAGACCAATGGAATTGCGAAATTTTAATTATGGATAATTGATAAACTATTACGTTTTCGTGTTCTATAATTTTGGGGTAATTACGATGTGATTTAAACTTAGTAACAGCCCATTCTGCGGCTCTACCCTTTAAATGGGAATCCAAGAAGCTGTCTCTTTATAAGTCAGCATAACTATAGTTACAAAGTCGTCTAGTTTCTCATTTTACATAAAGAACCCAATATCGTTCTATAAAATTGCAATAAAATTTGGGTATCGTTCAAGACACGTCCTCTTTCGATAATTGCTTCTTCTAATAGCTTCTTCTAATATTAATCGTTGTTGTTGAAGCTAAATTATCAAGTTGACAATTATATAGGCTTTCTATAGTGATATCTACAGGTATCGTTGATTTCGTCTATCAACAAGATGCTCAAACCGCTTTGTCAGCAGTTAGGAGGCTTACTTGGTTATTGGCATTGGAATATGCTGAGTAGACTTGGCGCGCACCAATGAGAATAATAACGAAATAAGGGTAGTCCGAGCATAGAGCGAGTTGTCAAAGTAGTGGGAGGATTTTTGAAATAGATGAAATGACTCGTATGTAACTTCTAAGTGGCATAATCGATATTATAATAATTAGTTAGTTATTTTATGACGCGGCGATTTATTTACTGAAAACGAGAACATACCTGTTTGCTGAAAAGTCGCGAATATCTGAATAAAACAACTTTTTTATTGCATTATTATTCTATTCGGTGCAGTACGCGTCAATAATGAGGATTTGTGTGTGTACGCCAATGTGCAGAATTTTCGCTCTTGTGCGTACTCTTTCGTGTCGTTGTTAAGTGTTAAGGGTTCATTGTTTGAGGACTTGTTTGTGAGTTGTAGCAAATTGTCGTCTGTGCAGAATATGGAGTGGCAGCAAAGATTTGTTCGTTGCATATTTAACTTGTGGATAACGTAGCGTCTGAGTATATATGAGTAGACTGTCTAAATGTTTACCATTACTTTACTCACCGAATCTTGTCGTCTACCATGTGTTTGAGACGCTAATAATAGGTTGGGCTCGGAAATATTTGCTTGCGACTCGTGTGACCATTGTATATCGGGACTGGTAACTTTGTTCCTGAGTCCAGCCGAAATTACTTCAACAATCACGTCTGTGAAAGGTGTCGCATCCATTGAGCCAACAAACGCGTGTTTGAACTCTTTCATCGATTATGTTGTTGATAAACCGTGTCGTTACAGGACTTGTTCGGATGCACGAAATATGGAGTAGCGACAAACGGTATTTGTATTTGTGCTTTGGAGGAGGAAAGGAGACGCGAAACAATATATGTGCAGTGGAGAGAAGCGCCTGAGTAATATATGAGTAGACGCGTGTTTATCGGCTATGTGGTCGGTAAACCATATCGTTACAGGACTTGTTCGTGAGTTGTAGCGCACTGTCGTATGTGCAAAATATGGAGTGGCGTAAAGGATTGTTTGTTGTATTTATTCAGCTCTGTGATGGAGAAGTCTAGCCAGTTTGTGTAGGCGAGATTTTTGTTTTAATGGCTTTCAGTTGAAGATTCTCAGCAATAGCATGTCCACAGAGGCAAACCATGCCAGGATGTCTAACAAAATGCAAATACCAAAATATGAGATTAACAAGATTTTGACTCAAAAAATCAAGCTACAGAGCTACCCATTTGATTCTGCATGTATATAATTAACAATATTATGATCTATCATAATGTTCTCCTGTGCATATTCATCAAAGAGACGCTGTGTCTGCTGCAGACTGAAGTATGGGTTTTTGAGGGATTCAGCAGCATTGAAAAGTGATATGTGTTGATCAAATACAGTTCCACAGGCAACTATTACTATGCAATAGAGAAGCGTCTAGGTGTTCGTGCGTTGTAGCAACTGTCGTATGTGCGCAATATGGGATTGTTCGTTGTACATTTAACTTTTAAATTGTACGTTGGATTTGCGCTTTGGAGGAGAACATGTTGTGAAGCGATGCATGCGCAATAGAGAGAAGCGTCTGGGTGTGTATGTATGAGTAGACGTGTGTTTGAACTCTTGATTAGTTAGTGGTCGACAAACCGTGTCATTGTGAGTTCGTTGCTTGATGACTTGTTCGTGTCGTATGTGCGTAATATGGATTGGTGACAAAGGTCTATTGCGTTGTATATTTAACTTATAGATAACATTGTATTTGCGCTTTGGTTGTTGTGAGAATGGAGAGAAGCATCTGGGTATATACTTATGAGTGGACGCGTGTTCGATGACGAAGATGACAACCAATAGTAATAGTAAAGCATAAACGGTTTTCGATGAAATTTATGTTAATGCACTGTCGATGAAATAAAATAATTGTCGGCGAAATGAACCGAACCCCCACAGCCATTATCGATCATGTTATAACATGTCCATAATTGGAATCGGTTTATTATTATCGGGCAGACCCATCATATTAGATTAAACAAGATTATTATTATGATAGTTGGAGGAAACTCTGATATTACCACAATCCAACACGAATATCGATAATATATTCTAATAATTATGAAGGCAACTATATTCTTAATTGGCCAATCACCTATCGGATTCTTTAACAGTTGATTAATTTATCAAAATTGATAATGAGCTCAAAAAATACAGCTCTTTATTATCACAGTAGTTCACCATGGTTGCGAGAGGAATACGTCATAGTCACCTCTTGTTCTAATCTATAATATTTTTTATCTTTAGCGCTTATGTGTAGCTTGACAATAAAGTCATACTCTAAAGCTTCATATGGGCTGTAAGCAGAGATCCTGAACTTGAGAAGTAACTGGCTAAGAATGGATGATAGAGTATGTAGTATCCCAAAATATGGTTAAAATATTAAAAGACTAGGCTCGTGTTTAATGGTTAGTCGTTATTGACAACAAACATTGTTGTCAGCATGCATTATCTAATACCTAAGCAGTTGTTACTATTACGTTCTACAGTAAATGAATAAATTATTTGTTCCTCGGGAGAAAATGTCATTCATAGTAATAGTTCTGATGGTTTTGGGTATGATAAACCACTCATCAGTTTCACAAGAATCAAAACTTACTCGAAAAAAGTGATGTCAAACGTATACACAATATATTATTAATCCGTTTATTCTAGGAAGTTACACGAATACATTATTTATTATCTGACTAAGTAATCAAACCGCCAAGCAAGCATCTAGTGTCGAAAGTAGCACGTGAAGAGTACCGCGCCCCGTCAATAACATGTTAATTTCACGTCCGTCACCCAAGTAGCCGCATGTTGAGTAACATCTTCAACCTCAATGATAGTCTTGGTGGCTTTAGTTGTAGTAACGGTATCGGTTCGGTTGCCATATCCAGCAAGGAAATTGAATTTTGGATACTCTGATGAGGTTGAGGATCTTTCTCGGGGAACAGGTGAGCTTCAATCCTTATGCAGCGCGGCTTCATAAACGTAAAATGTAACGTCAATTTCATATTCTCCAACTAGTTAGATAATAAGAATGTGAGAGTTAAGACATATGCGCATCTAGTCGCGAGATACTCCATATTGTTCCCGTGACCAATGGAATGCTTACTTTTATTTTAACTTTAGAGCACCACTCTCATGTTCTCCTCGTATGAACTTCAGGTTTCTAAATAAACCGCAGCAACCACCAACAAATTCGTCTTCTTCCTCATATATCTCAATGCGTCTGTTGCTTATCGAGGAGAATCTTTTTACAAGGAAGCCAGGATTCTTTCGTTGTGCCAACAAAACTACCGAGTTTCTTCCTACTAAAGACGGTATTTGTAACAGTGTCGCATTATTGATGGAAGACCTAGGTGCGTTAGACAATGTGCCAACAGTTTCCATGCTTAATATCACCATGCATGGATGTGCCGTAAACAATATCTTTTTATAATTCAGATGTGCCTCGTGGGAAATGACTCACGATGTCGTTTTTCATGGCGACTTAGTCCGTAACTAGCTTGTTTGTTGTTTTGACTGTTTTTCCTTACGTAATAAATCGTTTGTTTAGAAATTCTAATCTTGGTGTGTAAATTATGCCATGTCAGCCAGCACAACGTTAGAAACGGCAATGTTGGTGTCCACACCCAGCAACCTTCATGGTGATCCTTGAACTATGAGTAATAATGTGATCTGGCGCAAACGTTGACAAGGCTAACAGCATACGTCAACTATACGTACATAACATCGAATGTTAACTAACTTCATTTATTTAAGTAATCAATAAATGACAGTTCAATGACGTTCCACGAAATTACGAGAGTGAATGACGTACAAATTCGTGTGAGTATTTTAATCGATCGACAAAATAATACTAACAAGCAAATTTCATCAAAGAGTAAGATTAGACGTTTCATTTACTGGAATACCTTCGTTGTATTGATAATCATGTGTCAATAGGTTTTGCAATTTGAGCCTAAATTAGTTGGTGTTATTGAGGTTAGAACCGCGGCTGTTCCTTGACTGGTTATGTCAGCATTGAGACAGTGAACGAATGTATTTCCTTTTGCCAGATAACAAATCGATTAATGTTTGAGTCATATGCGTTAATATTTATCGTGACTATTTGATCAAGTGATGTCATATTATTGTCTTAGTACGATTTAATTGAATACAGCAGCTGCTTTGGTCAGCCCCAGTAGCAAGAATTTTAAAAGCGTATATGGAATATTGGTGGTAAGTAATCACATGATACAAAGTATACTTTTCATAGGAGGTTAAATAATACGTTTGTCAATTTCTTGAAAGAAGAACCGCAAGGGGGAAGCGATATGCACTGATCGTGATAGTAGCGGTTGTCTTGGCGATTATCTAAGCGTAGACCAGTCTGATTTAAAGGCTGATCCGTGAAATAAAAACAAACAAATAAACAAATAAGCAGGTTATTTAAATTATGGACACCAATAATACTAATACTGGTTTTTCATTTCCCATATACTGGTTTATTATTTCCCATATTTAGTATATCTTGTGAAATTATAATATATAAGGAGATTCGATTATTATCTAGTTCAAAGTAAAAATTCGATGAACTAGTTTATCGTCTGCGTAAACAGCCGATGAAAAATGGGTTCCAAATTGTTCTTCGCGCAACACAACCATCGCGTTCCATGTTTTTATTTATTGGCGCTGAAATAATGCAATAATAACTTATACACATGCGCATATCCATGCTATGTCTGTAGTAAAGAGATCTCTTGAGTGTGGAATTCTTACTTTCAGTAACATTTGATTCTCGGTTTTACGCTTAACCAAATGCACTTGCCTGCGTACTCTGGATATACATTATAGACAAGAGTTAAATATAATTCCTGGGAAATTGGATGTATTTCTTACTGCTACTAAAAAATTAATGTATATTGACACAAGGTAACATTCATTTCTTTGAGAAGCATATAAATGATGTAACGGTGCAATCTCTTCCTATTCTGACCTGCTCAAGATCCAAGAGTGCATTGCGTATCGAATTCTTTTTTCCTATAGTTTGTTTTCCTGCAAATTGTTGCTGCATTCTTTTGCCTCTCAACAATGCCTCTGAATTAGAACATTTATTTTCAAATTCATATGAAAAGAATATAGTAGGTAAGTCTCTTAATCGACACGGGATATTATGAGAATATATTCTATAATCACGAGATTTTTGTTCAATAGACTTCTTCCCATTACAAAAAGTACAGCCATCAAATGGTTTTTATATATCATGACAACAAGAACTGCTGATAAAGATAAACAATTCCCTATCAATGTTATATAATCGGAAATGCGCGTTTATTCCAAAAGGGATATCGTGTGAATAATATTATGGTTAACATTCGAAGGTTTACTCACGCTATTAAAGATCAAATAGGATTAGTATGAGAAAAAGTTTGAAAAGGGCAAAAATTTTATTCCGACTTATTATAATACGTTTATCAACAATGAAGACAATTCGCAGGAATCAAGCTAACAACAGAAAATAATTCTAATTTGCACGTAGAATGCAGACCAAAGCTAATATCTGCAAATCGACGTCTGGGAAGTTTATAGCACAACCTAAACATTTTTGCAAATGGTTCATTGTCGTAAGCGACTATAATAAAAACCGAATAATCTCAAAAAAAGTGCTTGGTTTGCACTGTAAACAATTGTAAGTCTAATGAATTAGAGAATAAACAAAGTTGGAATTTCGTGCACATACATACCTTCGCGTTTGTCAATGTTGTGCCGACTACTGCGGAAGAGCGATTAGTATCGACCCTTGGAATTTATCTATCGCCAACGGAGCGTGGCTTCTCCTATCAATAGTTAATTCTACTTTACAGTTAGTGACCTTGTAATCTCAACTTGCGATAACCTCTGCGTCGTTAGTGTACGCTAATCCTAGATAACGTACTTGTCCTCGAGTCAAATGCACGACTATCTACTGTGGTCAGTAGTAGGTCTCCAAACCAAATAAACGCGTTTCTAAAACGATTAAATTATCGTAATTTATGCCACTCGGACAAGAGACGATTATCCTTTGTCGATATAGAGATTAGCGAATTTAAACTATACCGATCAATTCAGGGCAAAAAAAATAGTTTATATTCAGAGTAAATGCGATACTCGTTTATTGACAAGAGAATAATACAATACTAATGACCACGGAAGCAAAACATACCGAACTCTAGCTGAAACTTGCGCTGCTTTTATATATCTACAGTATGGGAAGAAAAAACTTGCCTCATTTAAGTCTGTAAAACTTGCCAATTTTATTAAAAGTTAATTCGTTTACCACCATTCTCAATAATTTCGTCACAACGTCTTTTCATCGATCCTATTAAATTTTTTATAATAGCGTCTGGAATATTATCCCACTCCTCGACCATGCGCAAGTCATCAAGATTTTTTGGTTGCCATTTCTCTTAACAATACTCCATAAGTTTTCTATGGGGGTTGAGGTCTGGAATATTAGATGGCATAATATGAAAGATTCTCATACAAGATTGCAAGCTTTGCCCATAGATCCACCAACTCATTCAACATTGCCTGCTCTCAAAGACTCAATATGTCTGTAGATATGTATTCTGAGCGAAATCACAAATGACATGACAGCTGATTATGGTGATGCGTGACACACTTTAAAAAGTCCACTCTAGCTACAGCAACATTTTCCTGATAAATTCATAATATCTAATATGGAGCAAACTGCAACAAAACCAGACAAAATGAACATTTGATTATGTGAGTTAATACTGGTTGATGTTGTAATTGCAATATGATTGTGATAGGATAACATTCACTAGTCTTATCTTTGAAACAATTTATATCATAACCTTCACTATAGCACAAAACCACCTAACACACATTGTAAAAGCATTCACAACCCAATGCACGTTGTAATGCATTCCACTCTGCTGAACAAATGCTACTCTATGAACCCCCATTGCTCCTCTATTAACCCATACTGTTTCTTGTCCCCTCCATTGATCTTTGAAATGAGTTTATTATTAGTTGCATCTTTATCAATATAGATATCATAAATGTTATCTGGAAATGCTATCAAATTGATTCACTGATATGTTATATCGAATTACCTTGCCGAATTTTTGTCACATGAAAAAAATCTTATGGTGATGCTTCATGGTGACACTTTTTATACCCCCTTGATTATTTCATTTATACCATGATTAGTTTCTTATATTTGTCACTATTGTCACTATGAAAATAAAACTTCTAGAAAAAAAAAACAAAACTTTTCCATGATACCTATATACGATATATGCTATACATACCTACGACATATAATTATTTGTCTTTTCAATTTGTGAGGATTCGGAAGTTTTAGGGTTTATCCAGGAATCAAGCCCAGTTTTTTAAGACTTGGAACAAAGTTTAATGTACCGAATTAACTTTATCTACGCTTTTTCGTTTTTCGTTTTTTCACGTCTTTTTTATTAATTCCTTTCTTTGAAGTTTCCTCAATTTCGTCGTCTCCCAACGTTGCATCACTCTTTTTCATCTTCCGTTTTTTCACGTCTTTATTATACATTCCCTTCCTTGACGCATCCTCATTTTTATCGTCTCCCGATATCGCATCACTAGATCGTTTATTCGCGCCTTTATTATTAATTCCCAAGTGCATATTGGGTTATTTTATTAATCCATCCCGGAATTTTCTGACAATCTTCGCCTTTAGCTGTCTTGTATTTTTGCGGGGGAAATTTTTCAAAGACGTCCGGTGGCACGACAAAATATACATTAATGTTATTCACGTCTTCTCTCCACGCGAGCAAGCTGTTAAGTAAATAATAGGCAAAGGTCCTAATGGTACGCTGAGCATGGTATTCGATTGGATTAAAGGCGAAAAATTAACATTTAAAAATTACTTGTGACAATGCGGGTGGACAGAATAAAAATAATACTACCATTTGATTTTATCTGTATTTGGTAATTTGCGGTTATTATGAATGTATCGGACTAATTTTATGGTGTCTGGGCATAACTAAATTCAAGTGTGATGGTAGTTTTGGATGGATAAAAAGCTTTATAGAAAAACAACTGTGGGTTGTGTGAATCATATTGTTGAGGTTGTGAACAACTGGATTAAATAAGGCTCAGCGTTACGATAACGGAAAAGGGTTTCAATACTTAGATCTTAATTTCGTATTGGAGTTTTGCGTTCCTTTATTTAGTTGCACCTACGATTGAACGCTAAAGGTGCTCCTAATTCCGTATTGGGGATTTTCTTTGAAAGAATTGAATGGTTTACAAAAATGTCAGCATTTTCTTTTTGAAGCAGCTCGACCTGGAGCTGTCAGAGCTCAGCTGGTTGCTAATGGTGCATTGACTGGATTTAATTTATTAAAAACTAGAAAAATAACTGTTTCTGAAATTATCAAAGAAATTAAATCCTTTTCAATCCTAGTTCTAAATCTTCCTCCTTTGGATTATAAAAGACAAGAATATCTTTATCATAATATTCGCCCATTTGTTAGAGATGAATTTAAAGACCTTACTTGTCCACAACCAATTTATACTGGCAATGAATAAATTTTCTCCATTTCCTCCATTACCTCGTCACTCAATTTGTTTTCTGCTGTCATTATATTAATATTAAGTCTATTTTTTCAAAAAATATTGCTTGGCTTTTTCCGCTTTTAATTTTCAAAGTTTAAACAAAAAGAATATTAAAATAATTATATACTTATTAAATACTATTACTATATTAATATTAAGCATGTTATAACTTCAAGTGAAAAGTTTTAGTCTATATCTGTATCGCTAAAGCAAAGCCGTTATCAGTTACTTATTTGATCTTTCAGCCATATCAGCCATTTTCTGTTCATGTGATAAAATGTTCACTTTGTATGGTTTTGTTGCAGCATGCCACAAGTAATCTTTTCTTTATCTAGATGTTCTTGGTATCATTGATTTTAAAAACACAAGGGGCAATTTTTTCACCCTGCTCTTTCTTTAAAATACGTCTGATGGTAATGGTGCTGTAATTCTTTGGTTCCATGGTGTATTTAATGTAAATTAGCTTCATGTTATATTTTTATATAGAGATAATCCTATATTAAACATCTGGACCAGTTTCAATAAGTACAACTTTATTGCTGAACTACATATACATGTTAAAGCTCATTTTAACTCTATCTAAAGACAGGCGTGCAATAAATGAGGGAGACATCTGGACCAGTTTCAGTTAAAATAAAGTTAAATTTCAATAAGTACAATTTTATTGCAATAAAGTTAAATTTCAGTCATATTTGTACAACAGCTAAGATAGTCAATAAATTTATGTCTGAGCCACAGCTGGCCACTAATACTAAAGCAAAACTGTCATCAGTCACTTAGTTAATTTTTCAGCCACATCAGCTGGTTTTAACTCACATAGTTCAAATGTTCACTTGTCTGATTTTGTTGCAGCATCCCCAGTTGTGTTAATGATACTAAATATAAAAATTATCAGCTTATTAGCTAATTTTTCAGCATATCAGCAATTTTTAGCTCACATAACAGAATGTTCACTTTGTTGGGTTTTGTTGCAGTCTCCCCAAATTGACAGTATTATGTCAGTGGAAAAACAAACAAACACAACATTCGTTATTTATGCTAGAGTTTATAATTACCAAGTTCTGGCAAACATTAAATTCTGTCAAAGAATGTAGTATTAGGATGTTAATATTGTTAACACAATGTATTTCGCAAACCTAGCATTTGCTTCAATTCACAAGTTCAAGAAAGGAGAAAGCGGGTAGGGAAAATACCAAATTAGGGCGAGCTTATTACAATGAATTACTAAATTGGCTAAAGGAAGAAGAATCTTTTCGATAGAAATTGCACAATAGATACTAATGCATTTATAGTTAGAATGAAACACAGACATGTTATTTCGGAAAAATTAAGTTTGCTACGGCAAAGATCCCTAACGAGGTTTAAAAATTACGTATACCCAGCATCATCAAACAGAAATATTACTTTTTCGATCGAACGGACAATACTCAAATCTATTTATAACTATTAAAGGAATAGTAGCAATATTAGTCGATGCCGACGAAAAACTGTGGCTTTAGCATATTATCTAAGCCGCATATTAATATAGACTAGACATAGGCGGGACCAAAGAAGTGCATTGCTTAGTAGTCTGTGCTTCAAGTAAAAAAAGAGAACCTGGTATGCTGACAAATGCAATAACCCGTACTCGAACAATTCAACTAATATAGACTTTTAAGTTGGAAGATCGACAGCAATTAATAAGCCTATGATATTCATTTCGGTGGGAGTATCATTGAACCAAATATATGTGAAGGGTTTCAAACGAAAGGGAAATAACTTGGTTATTGTTGCATGATTGTGGCTGAGTATGGATTCGGAATTCACTGAACTGTCTGCAGAATCAATTTAAATGGGTATAAGTTTATCAGATTGCGACGTTGGTAAATATACGCATGCAATCTATAATCAGGGGAGATACTTGGTAATCAGATTTACATGGGTCAAACAGGGGGGGGGCTTTCGTGTGTACCCATATCGGCCATAAGAACCGAACCGAGATTTTACGTAAGGGAGCAGCGGAACAATTAAAAGCAACCAGGTAAGTAAACAGCAAGATTGTTATAACAATAGGCACAGACGGCATTTGTAGTGAGTCATAACTAAAGTAGTGATCCCCGAGCCTGTCGGTCTCTTTGTGTTGCAGGTTTACCTATTATAGACAGAGAACCTTATTTCATATACCCCTAGTGAGTCAGGGTTAGTGTAAATACTACAAATACTACTACGGTGTATAGCACATCAAACGCCACATATTTTAGGATAATATGGTGATACGAGCATTGTAGGAAATCGACTAATAAAAAATAGCGAAATCCAAGCACCGAAGATCATCATATGGGCGTTTATTACTTATTGTACATATCGCATTACTGCGGCAGGCAGTGGAGCTGTGGTGCAAACCTTTTACCTTTCCCGTTGTTGGCTACTTTTTTTTTTTCATATCTAAGCTTAAATATTATTAGTATCGTATTATATTCCCACGACTGCGCTTTTTGCATGAAAAAAGCGCGGTATTTACAGCATGCATATTCTGGGGAAGAGATGAAGGGCATACATGTGCATTCCACTATTGCTATTAGGTTATGGTTATTAAAAAGCTAGATGGAAAACGATACACATGATGATTAAGCTTCCGATTAAAGGGCGACCAAATGATGCGAACACTCAACAAACAATACCACATAGATGATATATTATTCACTCACAATCTTTGTATTTTTTATAGGTCATTCAGCATTCAAACGCTAATTCGCTATTCAGCCTCTGTGCATATGATGATCTGCTCATCACCTGTTTATCTTGCATCGGAATATTTTTGTGTTGGGGTAAGTGCAGTGCAACCAACTGACGATAATATGGGCGCACTTTGCCTATTATCAGGAATAACTTGACCCAAAATTCAAGAGTACAGAATATAAACAATGATAAGAGTGTGTGTGTATACGACTGTGTGTAATTAATATTTAACATTACTAAGAAACTTAATAACTTTATTGACAATAAGTCTCACGTTTGTATATTGTAAAATCCTATTAATCTGTTATATGGATGGCTTAGTGCACGGCAGCGTGGATCAACTTTTAATTTAATTCCGGACAATGGGGAATTGTTTATTGCAGAGCTACAATAATAGCTTACTTGTATTATCTCAGCAATAGAAAATTAGAACATAAACAAATTAAAGGCTAACCAGATCAAGAAAAACAAACTTTATAAACAGAAATATATAGAATACACAAAAAGATATATATATTGAATACGGTTTATTGTTCATCGATACATCCACCAACCTTTATAAAAACCAGCTCTACTCCCCTCTGCATCCTCAGTTCGCATCCCTATTCCAAACAAATCTGAATCAAACATCTCTATCACGACTCATAATTGTAATCATCATATACTCCTCATATTCCGGCCACCTCGCTCTCTTGTAAAAATGTTTCATCTGTCTCATCTTTCGCCCAATCCCACAATAACATCCAAAATATACTCATCACATTACTCGAACCATTACATCCCGCACTCTTCGACGTCCACCATCTCCATGCCATTATCGTCTTCATTACCCGCTTACTCATCCTCGCCCCTCTCCTTTTCCATTCAACATCCATCGAGCTCGTCCGGATATCTACAAACAAGCTCTCGATTCTGGGAATTCTGCATCGATGGGTTAGTCACATACGTACGCTACGGCAATGTCAACGGATCAAAGTACAAAGAACGTGCCACACAGATGCAAGTTCATGCCACTGTTGAAGATGCCAATGCGTTTATTGAAAAGTTGATCTCTGAAAAACTGAAGAATGGATTCGAGGGCTGGGTTAATTGGTGAGCTCCGGGACGCCAATAAAAACATAACGATCCGACAATAAAAACATAACGATCCGACAGTAGAACCCTCCCCCCCCAAAATGAAGTTGATGTAAATACGGCGATGCTTCGATAAACGCTGCCCCGAGTCTGGAGATGAATGCATTTACAATTATATTTTATGTACATTTTTTATATTACCATATAATATTGTGCCATAATAATCAATCAACAAAACCCCTATATTTTTGTTTATTATTTACTAATTTACTCCCTTTCATCATGCATTTGTATACACACATATATCCGTCTCGTTTTTGTAATTACACCTTTGTACAGAAAATTCGTCATTTTATCTTAATATTGATTATTGTAATAGTCGTGATAATATTACGAATCAAAAAAATTTAATACTCTCAGAACAATACATTTTATTTCTCTTTATGCTCCTTTACTATTTCCCTACTCTTGCATCCGCTAAGTTGAAAAAGAACACAGATCAATTATGACAGAATTATATGTGATAAGTGGGTTTCACGTTTGAACAATATGTTCCGTAATTTAAGCAGTATAAGAAAACAGACGAAAATGATTTTACAAGTTATAATAATAAACGATGTTGTTGAAAATAAAGAATTCAGGGGTTAATATTAAGAACTGTTGACTATCACAGATTTGCCTTATTATTTATTATCCCCTTATTTATCTTATTATCTAATCATAATAGTAATTTCCGTAAGATACTAGCCAAACATCCAATGCATTGCACGTGGAATCTAGTCGAACGTATGAATTGACCATTGTTCGCAATCACTCAAACAAAAGATTGTTTCATGAAAAGTAATTAATTGGCCATCGGTATCTTGAACTTCACTTACTAGAGAAACGTTGAAAATAACTTTCGCAGATCTACTCATTGTAACTGTCGCTGACAAGTAAACCGTGTTAAATTGAGATGTTACCTGCGACTGTTCTTGAACTAACTAGTATCCCAACTATCTGTGGAAAGATAAGTGATTCAATTGATATAAAATAGAGATTATATTTTTATGGGCAAAGTATATATAAATATTAATAACTCTACGGAAGAATGCTGCAGACATGAAATAACAAATTCGGATTTTGCGAAAACCTACAAATAGACGAATGCTTTGAGGAATATGACCGTTCGGTTCAACAATACTTCCTCTGGATGAGTCAAAAACGCTCATTTGATCCAAAACATATAAATATACTCATTCGTATACACATGAAAATCACTTAATATTAATTACAATGATGCATTACATCACGCAAAACTCTCCATAAGACATTGTAATTGGCACGTGAGGAGCCAATTGAACCGAAACTCAAAAGTCATGCCGCAGGTATCATTATTTCCTCAACGTTTATGGAGTTAAACGAGACCTAGAAACAAAAGCGTACCCAATATGCTAAAAATGGCCTATTTGGGTCAAATTCTTAACAAATTGACGTGGAGGATGAAATTACGGTTGTTTGGAGAATATTACGCATTATCTATGATATAGATTAGTACATTATCTTCATGACGGAAACACAACTACGCGTCCGAGACAAAAAGATTTCAGCAAGAGTCTGATTTGCGATTTTGGTCAGTGAACTTACGTGAATAGAATTCAACAATTCGAGGGATATAGGCAGTTCGATAGAGATTGGGTATGCAATATTTGGCGTGGATTACGACCACTGATGCCTGATTCAGCACCAGAGGAATATAAAGAGTTGGCTGAGATTTGTTCTAATGCTGATCCTGACAATCGTCCAAGACTTGAAGTCATGATTCAACACGCTCGCGACATTTCATTACACATAACGAAACAGCACTTCTTGTGGATAATGACGTAAGAAACGGTAGATGTAACTGGGTTGTATGAGGAGCGTTGTCCTATCATTTCAGAAGAGGACGTAGACGGAAATTTTCCGAGCTGGAAATGAATCATCAACCGCCCGTTACGATAGTTATCCTTTTCAAGATGTTCAGCGTCCACATTAGGCCGATAGAAGTTGAGAAATCAATGCTTATATTATCATATTTGAGATTAATTCGTATTATGTGATTATAGAAATATATAGCACATAATCGAGCATCTTAGCAGTTTTTCATCTTGAATAACAATGAACTTGTGTAAATAAATCGTTGCAGTGCACTCCACTCCACCACAGGCTGGTACAAAGAGCAAGAATTCCACCCCCCCCACCCCGGATGTTTCCTACAAGGAAACTTGCTGTGAATGGGAACCAACATGTGAAGAAATTCGCTTCGTCATTTCGCGATGATGTCTTCTTAACGTTCTAAGTTCTTGTTCCTCACGAGTGGCACCATCCGCATCCATCAAAATTGGTTTAAATCGTTGATCGAAATTTACTGTTGCCAGCAATTATTACATATCGCCCATGAATGCTCATATTTACGTAAAAAAACAGCCGTCGGCATAGAATATAATATATTGATCTATTCAATTTGGAAATTCAATTATTATGGGCGGAGCCTCTCAATTGAAACTAACCTAAAAACAATACCATCAACGCGTCGATTCACTAGTTATATACAGATTCGTTTAATCTAACAGAGATTTCAATTCCCTACTGTCGATTTTCATCTCTTCCTGTTTCTTCTTGTATTTTTTCCTATACACATCGTACTTTCCGACTTCATTGGCTCTCAAAGTCATCTCGTGCTCCTTATCGACCAGTTTTTCAGCCACTTCAGGTCCAAAACATTCTTCCAAGAACTTCTTATATTGAGGACGATAGCATCTCAGATTTTTCACAGTAATTCCTGCCTGCACCAATTCATCAAATTCAATGAATCTAGCAAGAAACATTATACGAATGGCTGTCTTACGAAGAATAGGAACGTTACTGGCATTCCACTCAGTCATAGAGTCAGAGAATAACTTCATGGTCCTCTTACGGGTAGCAGCAGATGTTTCGTCGTACATTTTACGGAATAGCATTTCAGTATCATTAAATATGTCGGCAAATAAAAGAGCGCTCTGTAGATGTAAGGCTTCTGTCTCAGATCCTACAAGTCTGTAATCCATCCTTTCCCATTGCTTAATTCTCAATCGTGCTGCTCTCAGGTTATCAACGTGAATAAACGTCTCCTCACGCGTGTGACCAAGTTTCTTGTATACATTGAATAAGCGGAAATAGTGCAATTTGAGAGTGTCGGGAATGGCCGTAGGACAGGCGGGAAGTTTGTCGATACAATCGGCAACTCTTTTGTCACCAAGAATGATTCTCAGCTTATGTCCCATTTCGCCATATCGATCAAGATCATTACTACTTGGAGGGTCAAGTAGATAGGCCAAGGATCCTGATTTCGGATCCAACTTACTGCCGATCGATGATGGTATGTATATTCGAGGTGAAGATTGGCGTGCTATGTGCGGTACTTTATGAATGGCTTGCTTGGCAGATGCTTTGGGCGAAGATTTTTTTATGCAACAATCTTGCTTTTGTTTGGTAGATTTCCGGGGAGCCATTGCAGAATCATCCACAAGTTCCCAAATTGAAGTTGGAATTTTTTGCCCATCCGTTTGGTCTTGTTGGATTTCCATGTCGGCATCTTTTGGTGAATTTGGAGATGTTTTGCGTGTTGATTTTCTTGATGGAACAAAAGGCAGCTCGTACTCTGATTCTTCTGATGTATCAGTAGTTGATTTGCGAGAAAAAGTCTTCTGATTCGTCTTTCGGACAGGTGCTTGGATCGACGGTTCCGCCAATGGTTTTAGTCTTTTCGATTGCCGTGGACTTGATGGGTCGTCAAGCGCATCTTTTCGTGATTGTGGCAAACGTTTTCCCGTTGCAGTATTTTTTTTAGAGCCTTTGGCTGGCGTGGGAGTCGGACTTTCTTCGTCTGAATCATGTAATGCTTTCGTTGATCGTCTACTACCTTTTCTACCAATCTCTGCTGAAGTGCGTGACCCTTTCTTAGACAATTTGTTGTTTTTTGCATTTTTAACTGGAGACTTTTTTGTGCTTGATTTGTGATATGACGATTCGTCAGATGAATCGTCATCCGATATTTCAAATACTGATATGTCGGATGGTGTGTTATATACCAAAGGACTATGTGATGCATACACCGATAGTGCATTGCGGACGGGCTGTCTTCGTATAGCAGTTCTAGTGGCAGGTGCAGATTCATTTCTAGAAGGACTAGTAATATCATCGCTATTCTTTGATTGGGTAGACGTGACGCTGGGTGATTGCACCTTCTCATTGTTGACATATTCACTAAGCGCTCTTGCACTCTTTGATGAGCGTGGACATGGAGAATGAGATGACGACGAACTGGGTGATGGAAGGGAAGACACAATTGGAGATAACGGTCTCACACCATTGATCTCTACTCTGATATCTGCTTCGGTTATCTCGGGACCGGACACTCGATCAACTTGATCAACTGTGTTCATTTGATCATGTGACTTTTGTTGTTCAATCAACATATCCACCAAACTATCTTCCGTCATGAAAGTTAATACTGGGTCACAAGCCATGCCCATTCCAAAATGGTTATTATTTTCGCCCGTGTCTCTCTCACTTTCTAGATCCACGCTTTTGGAATCATAATTTATTTTATCGCCAACATCCACGCGTTGCCCTAGGTTCTGCTCTTCTTCTGAATCACCTATCTCTACGTCTATTGTCACGGTATCTCGCATATTCAAGTGTACTCGTCCATCCATAAAATGAACAGACTCGATTTTCATTTTGGTTTGTTGTTCGGCTAATATTTTCGCCGCATTGAATAATAGGGCTATTGCTTCGCGCGTTATCGATGACGAGTCTATTGGAGCCATACTGTGAAAAGAGGTGCAAGAATAGGAGATGAAAAAAAGAGGTAGTTTTTGGCGGTATTTATTGGGAAGGTTTACGTGAAGGGAGGTAGAGAATTATTTGGAAATGTGGCACGAGTTTAAATGATCATGAGAGATATGTTGATTGATCTATCAACCGATCAATGGGAATATCAATATGCATCATCTTGATGTTGGGCGAAGGATTTCAGGGGTACAAAATCTCTGATGATTGGCTAATCAACAAATATATTTAATAATGAAACCCCCGAATATTTTCTTTTTCAGGATCACATGAGGTCCTGTCATTATCATGGAATCTTGTTTATGCCACTAAGCTAAATATAAACCGGATTTGAAGTTAAGAATATGAAATTGAAATTATTATAATAAACTATCAGACAGTGTAGAAACAAAATTTAACGTTTATACGATAACTTTGCAAATTTTAAAGTTTCAAAGACAAATAACTGTTGTAATCTAGTAATAATCTGTGTTAGTATTAGGAGTGACATTATTGAAATAAGTAAGGCATTGGAATCAAAGGATTGAAATTCTGTTACATGTTTCTTGGGTCCATTGATTATAAAGATGGAGAGGCAGTTCCATTAATTAAATACATTAAGCTACTATTACATATACAGACTATCTAATACATAGTAAAGTCCGCTTTAACGAAGGTCCGGTTTAACGAAGATGGTCTTATAACGAAGTTTTTTATGGAACCGATTCATTTAGCTCCCGGCTGAACGAAGATTTATAATTAAACTAATAAAGTAAACATTCAGTTTTCCTAAATTAGCGTGATATACCGAAATGTTGGCGCATAACGAAGTATAACGACATGCGCTTTATTATAACGAAGTTCGTTATAGCATTGCTGTATATAGAGATTTGAACAACACGTCTAATTCTTTGCCATTCCGGTTGGAAGTGATTGCGAAGAACAAGTCTCACCATCGTTAGATATAGAATCTTCTTCCCCGAGCTATTACTATAGACAAGCATTGTTCCGAATCAAAGAAACTACGTAAGATGGTGTAGAACGAATGTAAAGAAGGTAAATAAATAAATCTCATTTTATATTAGTGATAGAGTCCGCTTTAACGAAGTTATTTGGCGGAACGAAACTCTTCGTTAAAGCGGACTTTACTGTGTACAATCTAACGATTTTGGCTATTTGATATTGCATGAAAAAAATGGAGTAGTTAACGACATAGTCAAAATTATTCTTGTAATGCTGATTATTTATAAGAAATATCGACATACTATGCTCTGTTGTTCGGGTATTAAGAATGGGAGAACTCAAGCTCAGGCAGAAGAACACACATATCTTCCATCACATGTAAGCTACCCCTCTAGCGAGACTACAGTATTTCTTAAGAATGTTTATAATAAACATGGATAGCAGAATATATTAAGATATGCCTCTATGAAATTGTTTCTTAATATCTGGCGCAACAGGTTGGTTGCTATAGTTAGAATCAGAGTTACGCCCCAGGCTAGCGACTCTATAAATTTCGATTCTGATTCGGACAGCGTCGGTTAATTGTCTAACCGCCTGCATATTACGCTGCGGTGACTGTTACACTCCGTAAATGTTTTGCATTCTTGTTGGAAACAAAAGGTGTGATCAAACGTATCGGCACAAAGTTCTTCAAAGCCGAAAGAGTCAAACGTGTAACAGCTCGCACAGACCGTATATCAAATATACAAGTGATGTGAATCGTTCAGTGACTGCGACTTAACCTCAGAACGGTGAGAAATTGGATGTTAATAACTTCTGTTTGATGGTACGTCTTACCTCTTTATTGATTAAATATAACTTATAGAGTATAATTACGTTCCTGGTTGTCATGGAACTGGTAGCAATTCGTGCTCTTAAAAAATTGTCAACAACTAACCAGATTTTTTGAAATGTACGAAATCATTTGTTATTACAATAATGATAGAAGCAGATTTTTATGTGACGAGACCACAAGAACGATTATCGATATTTTTTCTCTTGGAAGGCTCTTATGTTAATGATGATAGTGGCGAGTTTTTAAGTTTCTTGACTATCACTTAGTTCGTCATACTACAGAACCACAGAATTTCAGTTTCATGTTACGCGCTTACATGAAAAACGCGCGCATGATTATTTATTATGCACAAAATATGTTGGTTATTACTTTGTATTAAATTTTTCCGAGACGATATACTGGCGATCCGAAATCTCTACAAAGCACTGTAAGCGAATATTCTCACATATAAAAATACGGACAGGTAAGACTTTAATATTAGCTAGGGAGTGAGATCCATCAATTTAACATCTGCAGCATATAATTGTACAAATCAGGAGCAAGAAAAAGAAAAGAAAAGGAGTTTATTATCAAACCGACCAGTTAGATGTTGGCGACTGACAACACGTATGGTCCCAGTCTATCAATTAACACTCGCATTGAGAGTTGTACGTTTTATGCTAAAGGGGTTGTTATCGCTTCGAATTTTTGTTCTAGTAATAGGTTTTGGTTGCCACAGTGCAACTTTATTTTGACGTACAATACGTTGGGAATATAAATATTTACTGTGATTATAAATACATCCATTTTATACAAATAATGATTAAGAGGTTTACATCCATATAATTTTACAAGCGTCTAAACCCAACCTTTACACTGTTCTCTACATACGGATACTAGCGAGACGACAAATGTGTCTCATCAGTTATCTCTTTCGTATCCATCGAGCCTGAAACAGATGCTGACTCATCTGCACTGTCAAAGTGACTGGTAGCCTTATGAGCACGCACTAGAGTGATTCCGTAGTAAACGCGAGTAATAAAGTTGATTACAAGCATAACCGATGCGGAGACAAGAGATAACAGTGGGATTATGTCATATGTAATGGTATTATTTTGATAAATGACCTATTGCGTTATAAAAAAAAATATTATTAACAAAGTGTGCCCATTCACATTTCAAATGTTATTCCAAGTTTTACTCACCTGAACAATGAACTGTGGCACATCCTCAAGAAAGAAGCTACCAGTGCTCGCCCAAAATATCATATGATGCGCTTGTTCACTGAAAGGCGCAGAGAAAAATGGCGATTTACACAGTTTGCTGCCTATCACGGTCAACACTTCAATATCTGCTGCAGCTATGACTGTGAAAATGGCAGCAACCTGCGAATATGATTGGGTCCAGATATGGAATTTATACGAACGTGTATTCTCAGAGATCATTATGTATAGAGCCATAGACATGCTGTAGACAATCGTAACTATAAGGATGAGGATGCTGAAAATGACAAATATAATCAATATGCGAAGCAAAACAATACAATAAATAACGGAGATGAAATATATATATAGTTCCAACTCTATATACCTTGGAACGTATAATGACGGTACGTCTTTTCCATTCGACACAATGAAAGCGACGTCAACAGCAAAGTCATACAGAACGAGTGTAAGAGTGAAAATCGCACTATTTTGGGCCTACGTTGAAAATAGAGTTAACATTCGCATAGCCATATGTATATACGTATATAATTGATATGAGCTATGTACTCACCTCTGGGTTAATACGACATGCCAAGAGATAAAGTAGTCCTATAAAAAATACTGTCGCCCCCGCAATGAGTATATTCAGTTTATACTCATCCCATAAATTAGCTACAGAAACCAGACATGTTAGTTCAAAACTTTCGAAATATTACGTATTCCCAATCACGCCCTCCTCGTAACACTCACGTTTTACGTGGACACCATAATTTTCGTCCACGAGCACAGTCTCTGGTATACGAGAAGCTGCCGTAATTGCCTTATTCCTAATAAGCACGTCCAAATCTTTAAGTACTGAATCCACGCCCATTTCTGAGCTACTGGTAGCCGAACTGACTTTAAGAGATAATAGCACCCGATCTTGACCGGTTTTAGAGTCGATTTGGAATTTCGTGGAAATAGATAGTCGGGCTGGAGAGGCTGGGACAATGGATGCAAGAGAGTTGCTGAGAGAGGAGAGGAAGTTAGAACGGTCAGCGTTGGAGAGTCCGAGAAAATGAGAACTGCCCCAAGAAGTTAGGCTAATGATTGCTGTAGCGCCGGGTGAATAGATATCCTGTGGTTGTACGGAAGCTGAGATCGATGATAATCAGTAATAATCCAAGAAATACTTTGTCAGAATCTCTGGTAATACTTACATGTATGGAATGACCATTTCCCAGCATAAATCCCAAGAATCGACTCTTCAGTGTCCTTTGAGCTTACAAACCCATTCTCTAACACTACAAAGTAAGTCATGTTGGGTTGATTAAAAGTACTGTTTAGCACCTGCAGAGTCACTGTTTCATTTTTTGCATCTATTGTCCAGTATTGCAAATAGACTGGCGAGTATGTTTGACGGAGAAATTTGTTGATGCCATCAGTAGCGTATATAGTGACGTTTCCTGTGTTTGGTTTCACTTGCATGTTGTATGTGATGCTTACATCAGTCTTGCGAATCGGTATTTCCTCGCCAATGGTAGGCGATGTTGTTACAACGTTTGGATTCTGATAGTCAATGCCTAAATGTGATGCATCCAATGATATTAGTTATCTAATCTAGAATATATATATTTGTAGTCTATACATGTATTTTTTTACGTACCATAAGTTGTAAATTTGGGCAAGTAGTAAGATACGATTGACCAAGACTGTGGCGAATCATTCATCCAATGCCAAGCGGTATTATTTCTTGCATAGACATTTACTATAAAGACTTGACTCACGAGTTTAATGGTTTTCGCGACTTTACCGCTTGGGTCTAGCATGATTACATTTTGAGCGACTCTACGTGTCGAATCAACTAAGTTAACTATCATGTAACCTCCGTAGAATAATGGACTTATCCTATCGGCGACGGCAACATCCTTGGGATCAAATCCCAGTGTAAAGCTGTCATAAGATGCTCCCGTTGAATAGAAATTCACTTGACGCAACGCCTGAGTTTGGCCCGTAGAGACTAGTAATACGCAAACATATCCGCTACCGTCATATGCTATATTACACGCGTTATTGCCGAGCTGAACGTCTGAGACACCTGCTGGGCTTGTCCATATATCGCTTGGCTTGGAGACTTTGTTAGTGTCTGGATGGAGGAACAAAACTTGTAAACTCCATTGAGAGGTGGTTGTAGTCTTTGTGTTCTGAACGTTAAGGTTCGTTACAACAAAGGCACAACCATATCCACCGTCGATTGTGCGAAAGATGTTGCTACCAAACGTTTGAGTTCCATCCCTGAGATTGGGGGCGAAGGTGCCATTACCTAAAGCGTAGATTTTTCCATCTTCGGTTCTAAACCAATCATTTATTTTAGGTTAATACAAACTCGTTGTAACAACATGACAGTAACCATCCAGTTGACTTACACTGTCGAATATCGTCTCCAAACTATCGACCTGTCTTCGCGTACAACCTTTGCAAACAAGAACCCAGCCTCAGGAATCATACTTCTGTAAAGACTACCAGGAAAGCCATCGTCATAATTCAGCAACAACTTGATCTCGCCCACCGTCCCATTATACGAGATAGGGACTCCGTATTGTTGAAATTGAGCAACTCCTACGTCTTCTAGGTACGTCAGATATACCCAACCCTCTATCAAACTGATCATTGATATTCTGCTCGTGCTAGTAAAATTGGAACAGTAATTATAACTGCTCATGTTAAGTTGGGGCGTGGAGGCGATTACAGTATTATTAGGGAGGATAATTCGAAGATATATGTCCTTAGTAAAAGCACATTGAGGATCACCGGCTGCCTTTTGAAGACGAACTAATGTGGTCCCATCAATTTCAGCTGTGGCATCCGCCACCGTGAGCCCCTCAATAGATTCGTTGTATGTAAATTTGTTGTCATAGGATTGTGCGTATCCGTACGGTAGGATAAGGAGAATGACAAGTGTGATGAGGGGAAGAAGAGAAAAGAACGTGAAGGAGCGCCGCTCCTGTAGAGATTTCATATTGGCCAGGGCCCACGCTACAACTGAAGGGAATGAATGTATAACGATAAAACGATAATAAAACAACTATGCATTACACGCCATATTCCACATAGCCTATTTATTGTAAGAAACCGATTCTCGGTCGTGATGAAAAATTCTAGACAAATCACGTTTACCTTATTGAGTATGTGTTGGTTTGACATTCTGACCAATAAGTGCCAATTGTAGACGCACAGTTCGGTGTCAATTAAAAAATGTTACACCAATTTGCACTCTTATTAACTCTATAAGGAAATAGAAAAGATGATGATGAGAAAATCGGTAAATCTTTTTATTAATTAATATTAATTAATATCTGAAATACGGAGAGAATTTAACCAACCAACTTTAAGGACCAGACAATATCAGGGTAAACAAACGAATTATAGCGAGAAAATATACCATTTTGGCTATTTCGGGCTTTATTCATTGTTTTTGGCTGTACTCCGTTACTTAAGTTTTGCATTTGTTGTATAATAATAACTTTCAATTGAAAAATTGATTCTTTGTCAGGGCTGATTACTTCATCCTTGATTCGTCAGTAAATAGGCATAGTTTAATTGTAAAGCCGATTCTATGACATAACCTGAAACTTGCAGTTACTAAGATGTCTTGGACTTGTAGAAAATTACATAATATAGGCGACCTCCTATACAGTCACGTTTGCTTACAGTCACACTTTTAGTTCGGTCCCGGTTTTTTTCATCCTCCCTAGAGTCACATTCATAGTGATAGTTACAGTCACCCGATTTTTGATTCCCGTTACTAATGATACCATATGTATTGTACAAATCGTATAAGCACCATTTATATTATACCTGTTACATCATATCTACGTAACGAGTAAACACTTTCAAGGACCACGATTTTTGTGAGATAATAATAAAACCATCCAATAACCAATTTATTAATCTTTCCACAACGTCAATCGGGAAAAAGGCATTGATAGTAAACGCGAAATTTGTGAGCATGCGAAACAAAATTCTACTTTAAACCATGCAGACATTTTATATTAACATGAATCGCTCAACTGTAACCAAAATTTTATCCAAAAAGAAACATGGCTTTCGACAAAACACATTCTCATTATACAGTCACCCCTCCTTAGAGTCACTGACTTTGGCTGGTCCTGACGTAGGGAGGTCAGGACGAATTGGACTAAACTTTTATTAACAAACGGTTTTGAGTACAAATTGAGATAATAAAGACAATAAGATACAACAATAAAATCATTGATAGTAGTGCATACATATTAAGATAGACAGAAGATTATATTAGATATACCAATACCAATGCACCAAGTGACCAAATCGATATTTATATCTGTGGAGCTAAGTGTTTTCCTTCTTAACAAATAGCTCTGACGCTTTATTATTTAATGCTCAATGTCGACTGTTTTCTCAAACAAAGACAATAATACTGCACCCCTACAAGAATTACTAAATAAATTAGAAAACTTAAAATAATATTTGAAATCTTAAATCTTATGATTTCTTGGTGGATTTAAAACTTGCAGTCTATAGCCTTCGAAGCAATACTGTTTAATGATTATGAGTTCTAAAACTAAGATAACGAACTGCTCAATCGAAATTTAGTGCCTTCATTTTTATTTCATTTTGGTTCTTCGTGCAAACAGTTGTATTAATATCATTGACAGGAGAAGATACATCGTTACCTAAATAATTTGACCAAACGTTACCTAAAGCCTACATAAAGCAATACGCATGAATAATAATGCATATATTGCAGAACAAATAGCCTACCGATTTAAACAGTCGCTCTCTATTGATGTAAAAGATCTTGTATTGGTTGCTCTTGGGACAGCAAACACTCTATGCAGTTGGAAAGTTCGTGTCACACCCTCGGCTATTACCCATTACATCATCGGAAAAACAATATATTTCTATCGCTATTATCTCGATGACGATGAGAGTATCTCTCTCATTACTGGCACGCAGGAAAATAAAAAGAGCTTGGCATGAGTCAAGCGGCGCTGACTTGAATTGTCTGAAATTGGGGGATAAAGTCGAGGCAATTTTACTGAAAGCCCTTTTTATTATTAAAAAGCATTCATTAGTGGTTGGGGAAATTATGTAAAGACAGAACTTGTTTGGACATTATATTTCGAATATGAAGACATCTCTTAGATATCGAATATGAATTTTTAAGCAGTACGATAATGATTGGCCCTTCGGAACGTCCAGACATGAGTCTTCAAACGATGGATAGTAATATCCTATAAGCAAGCTTTTGTTTTTTTAAAAGACAATATCCTTGATCACCGTTTTAGTTCGCCACGCTTCAAAATTTATTAGACATTTATTAAACGTCATAAATTAGACCCTCCACGTATTTTAGAAAGTAATTAAATAGACTGTTCACTTGTCTTTTAGTGGTCTGTTTGTCATCTAATAGTTCTTTGTTTATACGAATCACTTTCTTATGTACGGATATGACTATCGACACTACAGCAGTATAGTATGTTGGGAGATGCATCGACTTTAAGTTAGTAGATAGTAAAGTGAACTTAATATTGAGATTATTAACTTGACTTGTTAGGTTACTGGTTTATTAATAAGCAATAAGACGCCAAGGGAGAATACGCATTCAGTAATAATGTATTGTCAACCATTGTATTTCTACTTGAGATGTGTCTCATCTGAGAACTTTATTAAATTTTGATGTAAGCCGACACATATTGCCAAAGGAACAATTATTATTTTCACAACCGAGGATCATGGAAGAGATTAGCCCTAAAGATGTTTATGCACAACAATATTCTCATGAGTACATACTCTCATAATCTTTATGCAAAAAGGTGTTTTAGAAACTAGGGTTTCTTGCTAAATGCCTCGATACAAGTTTCAGCTTCCAATTAATTATCTCTTCGGGGGTCAACAGTGCGCGGTTTTTTCGCTTGGCTGAAATAAAAAAGAAGATAAAAAGAAAAGATATAAAATAACATCTGTTTATCTAGCAACAGATTCTTTGAATCCGTCGAATGTTTGTTTAAGTAGTTCAGACCAGGATTCCTTGTTGAATTCTTTTAATTCTTTGAATCTTTGTTTAAGTAGTTCAGACTGGGATTCCTTCAATTCTTCGAACGTTCTTTCAATAATCGTATAGGCTGGGATTCCGTATCTGCTTTTAAATCATTTTAAGCAAGTATATACTGTCAATGTACATATCGCGATAAGATTATCCTTTTACTAGTTTTTTGACTGCTCACTAATTACCTTGCTCTTCGCCATTGAGTTTTTTAACCAAATTGATGATATTTTTAGCAGGTCCAAGAGCAATTCCAATCCTCATAAGGTCATCTTGTGTCAAACCAAGAAAGCCTTGACCAGAGACCTTTTGCTCCGTGATCTTATCAACATCTTCATCATCAAGGTCTAGACCTTCCTTCATATATCGTCCAAGAATTTTGTAACGTTTTTTTGTTTCCAATTCTTGACCGATCTGGTATCTATTTCCCAGTGATTATTATTTTATTCCATCTCACCATCTATCCCGAGATTTAGGTATACGTTACTTTATCGGAATAACAGCAGCCGCATTATTTTAGACCAAGCATCGCACTTGCTTGCACCCCAACTCCATTTTCATAGCAATAAGCAAGATTATTCTGTGCAGTAGTATGTCCTTGTTTAGCTGCTTTTTGATATAATTCAACTGCCTTTTCTTCTGCACTTGGCATAGCAACTTCAGCGGTTTTAATGTCCTCCATGGAAACTATTGTTTTTGCCAAAGATAATGAGCAGCTCCTCTATAAACAATATTTGCAATACAATAATTACCAGTAGACTGTTCTCTCAGAAAGGGAGTTTCCTCGAGCATTTTCCCTTTCTCAAATATCTTGTGGTTGAACGTGTTCTCCTTTCTTAGAACGCATCAGCATCTGGTGGCTGAACGTGTCAGTAGGTGCTGCAGTTGGTGGTTTATTTGGTCCCTTTTTTTTCGTTTTATTTTTTCCCATCGTTTAGGAAAGTGATATACTGTATAATGGAAAAAATAAATCCCGCATCTATTTATTTTTTCTTCTCAATGGTTGCTTGCGTAAATCGTGCACGTTATTGTGGTACAATTCTTACCCGCAGTGATTTACAGCCGCAGTACGTTCAGACAGCAAATTTTTTTAGAGAAGCTTTAGATCGTTTTTTGTTTAACGCTCTCCATTTTTATGTTATTCGTAACTGAACATTCAAACCAATGGAGAGTTTTTTTGAGGTTTAATTAAACATTACAAAGAAATAAGACTCAGAATAAGCAACGTTTTATATTAATATATACTTGGACGTGTCACGTATCACGTGAAAATTGTGATCGACAATAAAAATGTTACTCGAAAAAGAAATTGCGCAAAAAATAGTGCCAGATCTAATTTCTTTAAAGCAGATTCGTGGTTATGCACGAAAGTCTTTTCGATCTATGGATGCTTATAGAAAGGACTTGATTCCAAGCAAGCTGAATATGCAGTTAGAAAGTATAAGCGACATCGTGTTATTCCTTCTACCATTTTTGAACAGTTATAACAAATTTGTGATTTACTTTTTTTTGGCACATTTGATCACATGATTCATATATAATCATAAATTTAACTCAAAATTGCCGTGACTAGGCGGTTCAAGCCAATAGTCTCCGTAATGTCTAGTCGTATGTTCGCGCGTTAAACTTCTGTGGGCCGTGTCTCCAAATATCAGTCTCAGAGTAACTGGTGGAGACTATATTCTCGATTGGTGTATCGGTTAGATAAATGGACTCTAGGTTATAAATTAACGCGTGGGTATTTTTGGTGGATTAATTAGACAGATTAATACTCTTGAAAGATTGGGCGAGAGTATTAAAATGCCACGTCCGATTAATGATCGTTGGTGTAAGCGAAGAGAGGGATGATTATTATTTACACTTGTTAATCGGGTGATTGACTCAAGAATTACTATTCTGTAACAACTGAATGAATGATGAATCATCAAGATTATCGTCTTTATTATACCTGCACGTGCAATGATTTTTTGGTCCCGTAAATGCACGCACGTGATTAATATTTATATTGACCAATTATATTGTTACTATTCTCTTTGTTAGTTGATTGTTCATGTCGACGTTAACAAATCAAGTAAGTTTTAAAAAGTAATTATTTCAAATCGCTTTTTTGTATAATTCTAAAATCATTCTTTCTATCAGAACAAGTCGAGAGTGGTAGGCTTATACAAGATGCGAAGATGGATATTTTTCAAGCAATTCAATTCGTAGTAGTAGTTAAAAGTTGGGAGGAAATTACTGCAGAGAGTATTCGTAATTGTTGGAATCCTCCGAAGATTCTTCCTAACACTAATAGAATGGAGGTGGATCTTACAGATGATCCAACGGTTGATGACTTGAGTGATCAATAAGCTTCATCTTTCAGACCTGAAGAGAAATCGCAGGGACGTTTAAAGAAGATATTGATGAAGCGAACGCCGAAGAAATGGATGACGGTACTGAGATTCCTATTGTAAGCACCAGTAGTGCATTGAAAATGTACGATGGTTTTTATTACAACAAGAAAACACAAGTGAGCAGATAAAACAGTTAAACAGTCTTGAAAGATTTGTTGGTGGAAGGAAAAGTAGATATTATCATATATAATATTATGGTGTTACACAAATTACTATTTTCCCTAAATGCACACCCCCAGCGTGCACTTAGTATTAGAGGGTTTTCTCTGTATACTAATTAATTTAGATAATTAATATTGTTTGCTGAAATTTAATCATGTGATTTTGACGAATATTTATTCGCTAAAATTTAAACGAATCCTCATTCAAAGCTATTAGTTGACGTTTCTGGGCTTCGAAAAGAGAATGCTTGGCTCATAGACAAAAATGCTGTATTCTTGGCTGAGAATACGAGTTAAAACAGCTATGGAAGACACGAGGCTAGATTCGCGAAACTAGAGCAGAACGTTAAAGAAAAACTGATCTTACTGTATAGCTAAACTGGAGTACGACGTCTCACTAATCAAGGAAGAGAGCTTGCAAGACAAGAACGCTCCATACTATCAAGCTGTTGTAATGTTTTGCAGTCTTCAGTAAGTTTACATGTACCTGAACCTGATTCTCCTGAAGTAAATTCTGACAATATCTCATTTTTAAATGTTATCTTTCGCGTAGGTGTGTTCGCCGACCGGGGGTGTTACCAGGCCTAGCTCGTACTATCGCCCTTACTACGACAGTTGTGCAATTAAGACTGAATTAAGCCTACAAGTGACCTATTAATTAATTATGCGCGCTTTTCGCTCCCTATCCAAGTTTCAAACGCTCGTAAATATAAATAAGGGTACCTCTAATAGAATAACAACAACAACTATTCTATTAAAGAATCAAAGGGGAATACAATTAACAGGGCTATCTTCGATTTGTGTTTCGACTAGTCAGTTTCCGTCACTTGTCTTTACTAAACTAATTAAACAATAATAATAATCGTCTTTGATAATTAATTATAAACTCTCGTTCCGTTATTCACGTAATTGATCCGCGGACAGCTTTCAAATCAATGTTATTTCGTTACAGCTTAAATGAGTCGGTTTATTGGAGTATCCGGTCTAACAATCAATTATTTCGACGATAAAAGAATAAAATATGTGTATTGGAAATGAAGGATTTTGGGAGTATACTACTAAGATCAATAGTGTTATCAATTTATTTAAATAACAACTTCCGCATTCAACACTCGAACACGAAGATTTTGACGATGGAGGAAGAGCTACTTATATATCTTTTACGTCGCAAGAAAAACGACATGTTTCCATAGATTATTGTGGCTATGAAGAACAATTAAATTTAGTGCTTGTGCTGTCACTTAATTTTTTGCTATGCCCTAATTTGGACACGGCGTTGTCACAAAATTTCCGACATGCTACTAAATTAATATCTGTAAAATCGTGAGTTTGCTTGACTGCTCGAAGGAAGATTTTATCATGTAACTTACTTATCATTGTTCTTACGAAAACAATCGCAGTAAAATATTTTTCACTGGCCGACAAGTCACGCGTATAAATTTAATTAAACCGATAGAAATTTTTTTTAGCACTTAACCATGTTCACACCCACGATTATTGCAGCAGAAAATTTAGCCGAGAAAATTGAAGGTTGGGTTTTTCACCACGCAAGTAAGCTTCTGTTCTTCTATGGTCACAAAAGAAACTCCAATATCTTCGTTTTCTCTTTCTAGCATACTGAGTTGTGACCCAAACTCTTGGGGATGCTTGAGTGATTGGGAGATTCAATTTATCGAGGAAATTCCTGGATGCACTAGAAACGAAGCACATCGAAATCTGGGTATTGAACTTAGTATCCTTCTTAAGAACCCGCCAAAAAGTAGTCGCCAGGTGGCTAATAGCCCCATCCTCAACCTCAACTTCACAACAGTGAAAGCATTAAAGCAAGCAAACTCAAGCAAACAATAACACTTTCAACAGCAACTGTTAAACAACTCTCTTAACCAAAAAACTTTCAATTGAACCCACCAAACAGACAATGCATAAAGTTTTAGAAGCAAAGTGTGCGAAGTGTGCGGATGGACTAGCTCGTCTCTGGCAAAGCCGTGTTCCTATATGAACAGACAGGGTTGATGACGTTACTCAATTTCACGTTCACAAATTGGTCAGAACAATGCGAGTTGTGTTGAACCAACAAATAGTCCTTCGCCTCAAAGATGGAATATGTGATCACAAAAACCTTGCAAGTTTCAGTGCTTTGGTCATCACACCGAAGTATCTTTGTTTTGGTTAACAATACATCAGTCTTCATGAATACGGAACTTTCAAGATCCCTGCAATTTAGCAGGATTTCCCTGTTCTTTCTGAAGCAATCATAACATGTCTTAAATTTTTGTGAGTATATAACAATGTTTTGTCCACTTATTCACTGCTCTTTACTTATACCAGTCTATGATCAGTCCTTCATGAAAGAAAATATCAAAGTGAGAAGTTCACGCGTTGAACAACAACAAAAGTTACTGACCAAGCAAAAGGTACATACAATCAATCGGCACTGAATCGACCTAAAAGGCAGAAGAATTCAAGATAAACATACTAATACAGTGTGTCAAAAAAAAACCGGAAAATTGTATACGTCACTAAACCGCGTCTAGCATGCTCAAGTTGGAACCAATTTGCGATAAGTTTAATTCAAAATAAACACAAAGATCTAGGGATCAATTTAACATCTCTTTTTTTATTGCATCCATACATAACTTTTTTGATACATTATTACACAATGTCTGCTACCAAGAAAGAATTACAACGTAAAACTTTATTATATTTGTGGAACGA